GCTAAAAAGTAGATGGAAACATTTTAATTAGCATAAGGATGCATGAGGAGCACAAGTTTGCTGAATTTAGCAGATCTAAGTTGAAATAGCTCCAAAAAATATGAAATTAGCTTAGAAAGCTAACTTTGGCTAATAACAGCTAAAATTTAGCTAAATTTGTTGCAAATAGCTGAATGTAACAGAAAGCAACTGTAAGAAGCATAAATAGCACAAATAAGCTGAAAAAAGTACAACAAAGCAGAAAAGGCAGAACATTAGCAGAAAGAAGTAGAATTTTAGCAAATATAGCAGAAAAATGCTAAAATTAGCAAAAAGTAGCTAAAATTTGCACAAGAGAATAAAATAGAGTATAACCAGAACAAATTGTGTAAGGTTTTGTAAAGATTTAGAAATTATTTGAAGGATTTTAAGGTTGTTCAAAATAGCCCCATTCAAAGTCAATGGGAAAAAAAGTGGCAAAAAAATTGAAATAGCTAAAAACGTATAAATAGCTGAAATACCAAATGTCATAGCTGGCATTGCATGGAAGAGCTGAACATTTTGATATATGAATGGTTGAAGTAGCACAAATATTGTGGAACGAGAAAGGTGCAGAAAAACGTATGGCAGAAAAAATTATCTCAATGGTGTGATTGCCATATAGGTATTCACACAACTAGAGAATTAGGATTCTGCAGCAGTCGAGGAAAAAAAAACTACACTTCTAATTTCAAAATCTCCATCGACTTCTGTGTCTTCCACTGAGCCTCAGACGGCTCATCAGAATCCAGCAGGACGTGTTTGATGAAGTCGGCTGCTTTCTGTTTCACTTGCTCCAGCTGCAGCCTCCTGACTGCCTCCTTCTGCAGCTCAGCCTCCAGTCGTTCTCTCCGGGCCACCTGACCATGTTTCTGAGGCCTTCGGGCGAGGCGGCGCCTGAGAGTCTCAGTCTCGCTCTGTGCACCTGACAGTGCAACAAGTTTCCTGTGATCCAATTAAAAATGCAACAAGCTTTAATGGGATTTTAACTTAATGACACACAAACTACTTGTTTTACTGAAACAGGTTAGTTTGGTAAAGCTCGTGAYGTCCTAAAGTCATAATTATTTACAWTTACGCATTTAACTGATATTTCTCCACAATCATGTTACAGCAGCTATAAATGATGCAAACACCTGTTTGCTTAWATCAAGAAAGAGCTGCARAGGAAGTACACWGCTCAAAACATAAAGGRAACACTTAWACAACGCACGCTAACTCCCGATCTTAATCAATGAAATATTTGCATTGAGTACTTTGTTTTGTACAGAGTTGAATGTGCTTCACAAAAGTTTGATTTACTTGGACTTAGCGTGCGTTGTTTAAGTGTTCCCTTTATTTTTTTGAGCAGTGTAATATTGAATGTTGGTCATTCTGAGTGAATTTCTGGTAAAAAACATTGTGGTTCCTTTGTGAATGCAGATAGCGGAGGTCTTGCTCCCCACAGCCGACTATGTGAGCGTGGATTTAAACAGGATTCAAGGTCTGGAGGCCAGAGAGGTCATTGTAAGGACGTTATCGACCCAGGGAGAGTCCCAGGACTCACCTGTGGCCATCATCCCGCACAATCTCCTGGGCTCGCCTCACCTCTCCCGCCGAGCCACCGCACCTCCTCATCCTCTGCCCCACCCTGTGCCGCAGCCCCACCCGGTACAGACCCATCCTCCGTACCCATCGACGTATCCCCCCAATCACCCTCAGCCCCAGATGCAGCCTGTGCAACGGCCCCAGCACCACACGCTACCCCACGCACAGCCGCGCTCGCAGCCCATCCGCCACCCTCCTCCTCCCCCTCATCCCCAGATGTTTCATTTGGCAGGTTGAGAAAAGGAATTTCTTCAGCGAGCGAGGTAACGCCTTGCATTCAATCAACTCTGATGAAGAAGAGGATGGCTACGACTCTCCTCATGCAAGAAGAAGAGGGGCCTCAGTGGATGAGTTCCTCCGAGGCTCAGAGCTGGGCAGACAGGTACTGTTCTGTAATTTCAAGCTGTTCTCAGCACTTCACCCTCTTTTTAACTAGTGTTATTAAGAGGTTTGTCAAGATCAAATCCCCCTTTTTTACTTTTGCATTAAATACTGCAAACACATATAGAACAGCTCACAGTATTTATACTGTATAAGTATTCAAAAATATTTTACAATTGACATAGTTTTGCGAAAACCTTATTTTGCTTTATGAGATTTATTCACACATGGTTAGTGGATGTTTATTTCTTATAAACCAAATAATAGTCGTATCTACTTCAGCACTTGCACAGTAGTGTTCAAAGCTTGATTTAAACCTTCACTGGATTTCTACATCTA